ATCAATCTACTATTCCAAAATACATTCTTCTAAAATAATGTGACTCAAACACACCCTTATAGATTAATACGACATCGTTTAACGAAATCGTGAAGCCTTTGTTGACCTCATTTTTTCGCAATAGTTACGTGGACAATATATATTGGGTTCATTTGCGTCCACGCAAGTAAAATTCAACAAGTTTCGATCAGAGATTTGGACGGAAATGGATGACATTTATGAACGTGAGAAATGCTCTATGATACGAGGCAAAAATGATCGAATACCGACGAAATAATCAAAGATGATTGCATATAAATAAGCTATCACAAACAACTTGAACAAAATAAGAACAAATTAAACTCAAGCAAATAATATGAAATGAGAACTAGAGGAAACCGAATGTATTTTTAATTGTGCATTTGGAATAAAATGTTACAAGATTTGTCTATTTATAGACTTTTGATCGACGTGGTAATCGTTGGATAAGAACTACATGGCTTTATCTCTAAGCCAAAGCCTCACATCACTCAACTTGCTATGCATCAATTTACTATGCATTTAATACATTGATAAGGAATCAACCGCTTTACACCCTAGATGATAACCCTAACATTCATTATCATAACCAATACATCAATTATTCCTAAAAATTGCATGTAGATACTCACAGACAACAAAAACTTTGGCCAAATAAGAGCTTCGGATAGAGTGAGGATTTCGGCCAAATAAGGGCTTCGAAATAAAGAAGATTAAAACTTCATCTTTGACTTCTATACTTTGACGAATTTTACGTGGACTACAACGTGATGTCCATTAAGAGAGCCCGTGGTCACGCGTAATGGCCTTCTCCCGCCACAACTGTTTGTGTTCGCTATTAGCTCTGTTGGGAATAGATAATAGCAATGTAGACACCAATGTTAGCATAACAGAGTTCTACAGTTCACTTTTAGCCAATATCAGTTCAAGAACCAATCTTATAACCAGCATACCATAATGTAACCAAACTACTGTAAAAATCACAGCATATAGCAAGCCACAGTTCACAGCAATCAATTGCTCAAACTAGTATACAGTTGTATATACAAAATCAGCAGATTAAATTAAGGATAGAAACCGAAAGCTAGAACATTAAATGTACAGAAACAAGGATAAAAGTATAGAGCTTCACTTCCCTTTCTCGGTTCTTCCTTCTCCATCCATGGTTGAAAGGTTAGGCTCAGGAACAGTTTCCATGCTATGCAAAATCGCCGTCCATA